AAAAAAAAAAAAAAAGTTATATTTTTTCTTGTCTTAGCATGCAATTTTTGTTAGTTTCAATATTGGTAAGAGTGGCATGTACAATAGAAGATATATGGCTTTTATATTTAAATTTTTTTTTAAAAAATTAGCTAGTTTTTTTGGTATCACAAGCCAATTTGTTAGCTAGGACAATTTTTTTTAGAGCACCCACCATGTATTGGGTCCAATATTTTGCATATGTGGAATATATATTGATTTAAGTTTTTAATGACATGGAAAAACTCAAAAAAAAAAAAAAAAAAAAAAAAAAAAAAAAAAAAAAAAAAAAAAAACTAAAAGCTGTTCAGTGCAAAAATAAAATACTAGGTCTAGAATACTTTCTAACTAATAAAAATGTTTTATTGTGTTTACCATATTAAAAGAAAAAATAAATTAGGAACAAATGCTGATTGTTCAGGTTTGTATTTGAGTTTAAAATACACCCAAGAGTGGACTTGGTCTTTTTTTTGGTTATTGCCGCATAAGATAAATCATGTCCACTTTTAACTGCATTGAGAGACTTTTTTTTTTTAAACTAAGTCTATCCCTTATGTGATATACGATACTTTTTAACAGACTCAATGCATTATGGGTGTTGTTAGCTCATGGTCATGGGGACACTATTCCTTTAGATAAAATTATACAAATATATGGTTCTACTGATGTTAAATAGACTTAACAATTAAATACATCTAAATTGAAATATCATATTTTAATAAATAATATATTAATATACATATATAGCATGATATTTTATAGAATAAATATTCATTTTTTTTATTAAAAAAAATGTGACGGTGATTCTCATAACAGTTGTGCCAAATCATACTTGGAGTTTGTGTTGATTCTAATTTGGCAGTATGTTGACGTGATATATGGACAATTAAACCTCAACGATCTCTTAACTAGTCAATATAATAACTTAAATTAACTTATTACAAAAGTCTTCCATTGACTTATATTAGTCTATATTAGTGTCTGTCTGTCTCCAACTTAGCTAATCAAAAGATTTCAACTTTTTACTTTTTATTTTTTACTATGTGGATTAAAAGGTTCATTCATTTTTCTTCTTAATTTATTACTCTCTCTAGTTCAAAATAAATGTCGTTTTGACTTTTTTGATTCATCTATTTTGCTATGTATCTAGACATTAATATGTCTAGATACATAGCAAAATGGATGAATCAAAAAAGTCAAAACGACATTTATTTTGAATTGGAGGTAGTACTAATAAGAAGAATTGAACGTGAGAATAAAGAATGTTATCTCTAAGAGTCTTTAGAGCATCTTTCATGTGCTGAATGTGAATGTTAAATGTTCATGTCACGTGCTTGTATTTAATTGGATAATTGATCTCCTCAATCTCACAGTGAAATAAGAACAGTCAAATTCTTCGTACAATGCACACACTTTCCTTTCATAGGGATTCAGTTCATTCTCTTTCATACTTGTTAATGTGATTTTGTTGATTTTTAAACTTGTAATAGACTGAAAAAGTTTTTAGTACTTGTTGGGATTCTGTTAATAAATTGACTAGTTTCTAGTAGGAATAACGAGTTCTCCTAGTGAGTTTGTTATCCCACAAAAATATATCGGGCTGAGAATGTTGAATGATGACCCTGACCCTCGTATCCGTGAAATCTGATTTTAAAAATATGTAGAGACTCATTTTAAACATACTTGGAGACTCCTATGTATTTACATATAATAAATAATAATGTCCTTTAATTTTTTTAAATGTTAAGATTGTAATTACTACAAAAATATTAAAGCTTTTATAATAAAACCAAATAAATAAAAAATTTGAGAAAAATGTGTGTAACACCTAATTGTTTAACAACTAAGCTTTTATATTTTTTTATTAATTACACTTTCAACATTAAAAAAACTAAACCAAATTGATTGTTTCGAATTAAAAAAATTGGCTTTTATCTGCACTAATAAAACATATAATAAAGTAGTTTAGTTTTTTTTTAATGTTAAAAGTGTAATTAACAAAAAAAAAATATAATAAAGCCAAATAAATAATAAAATTGAGAAAATGTGTGTAACAACTTTGAGAGAAAAAAATATTAAAATTTTAATTATAGACATTTCGAATTAAAAAAATTGACTTTTATCTCCACGAAATAAAACAAATATTAAAGTAGTTTAGTTTTTTAAAATGTTGAAAATATTATTACTAAAAAAATATTAAAACTGTAGTTGCAACATACGATCAAATTTAACAGAGTGGTTTTCATCTACACAAAATTAAAATTAAATAATATTTGCACGACTTTTTTCCTATTTTTAGTTTGTTTTCTCATCATATCTGATGATGTGTCTGTCGAACTCACTTCTAGACGTAAACAGTGGGGTTAACGATGTTATCGACATGTCATCATAACAATCCCACAAAATAGCCCATTGGAGTAAATAATAAACATACGGTGTCTATCCAAATGACATGGCAGATAATTTTTTATATGTGAACAGTTCCATTAGAGATACTCTTATTTTCTATCATGCACGTACGTCGTACGCCATGAAAAAATGAAAAAGAAAATAAAATCGTGGAAAACAAAAATTAAATCAAAGATAATCTTTGAGACCTACTCATTGAATAAGCTATGAGTATAGAATTTTTTATTTGAGTGTAGAGTTTTTACATCGAGGCCACCCCCAACACTATTTTGCAGGCTAACCTATATTAGGAGTGTTTTCCAGAATTTTTTTTTTACCCAGGGCTTATTGAAGTAAATCTCAAGCATAATGAAAATGAAAGTGAATGTTATTATTAACAGTAAGCACAGAAGTATTTATATCACATTACAATCTAAGGGATTTAAAGATGCTCATTAATCCCTAACTAACTGCACAGCTAATAATCATGACAGTTGACTTTTTCTAACTGACTGCCAGCCATCTCACAATTTCTCTAATACACCCCCGATAAACGATGCCCGATTGTTTTTAGCACGAAGAGGCAAGCGTGTGCACAAGAGATGAAATCGTCCTGGAGATAGAGGTTTTGTCAACACATCTGCTACTTGAAATTCAGAGGGAATATGTCTCACATCTACCTCCTTTGAAAGAACTTTTTCCCTAACAAAATGCACATCAATCTCAATTTGCTTTGTGCGAGCATGTTGCACTGGATTAGAGGCCAAAGCAGCTGCACTGGAATTATCGCACCATAGGACAGAGGGGGACTCAAAAAACAGTCCTAACTCTCTGAACAGAGACTGCATCCACACCAAATCAGTTGTGGCAGTGGCAAGTGACCTGTATTCTGATTCAACACTGATTCTAGCCACCACCTGTTGCTTCTTAGAGCTCCAGCTAAGAAGATTAGAACCAAGAAAGATAAAATGGCCACCAGTAGACCTTCTATCATCCACACAGCTGGCCCAATCAGCATCAGTGTATGCCTCAAGTACAAATCTAGAAACAGGCTGAAAATTTAAACCAACTGAAATAGTGCCTTTGATATATCTGAGAAGATGTTTACATGCAAGCCAATGATTATAAGTAGGTGCATGTAAAAACTGACTGAGCTTATTCACTGCAAAGGAGATGTCAGGTCTTGTCATAGTCAAATACTGTAGGGCACCTATGACACTCCTATAAAGAGTGGGATCAGTGAAGGCCTTGCTGTCACCAAGATGAAGTTTTTGTGCAGGGGAAATGAGAGTGGAAACAGGCTTAGAAAATTGCATATTAGTCTTGACAAGTAAATCAAGAGCATACTTTGCTTGATTTAATAGGAAACCTGTGGAAGTTTTCAAGGCCTCAAAGCCAAGGAAATGATTGACTTCTCCATATGTATTTAAAGCAAACTGCTGACTTAAAGAAGTAATGAGAGCATGAATCATGTCTGAACTGTCACCAGTGATAAGAATGTCATCCACATAAATGAGAATGAGTAACAACTTACCATTTTGCCTCTTAAAAAACAAGGAAGAATCAGAAACAGACTCTTTAAATTGAAGAGACAGTAGTTAGCCTCTGATCTTGGAAAACCATGCTCTGGGAGCTTGTTTGAGGCCATAGAGTGATTTTTTAAGTTTGCATACTGCAGTAGGATGATGTGGATGAACAAAACCCTCAGGTTGAGACATGTAGACAGTTTCATGGAGGTCCCCGTTTAAAAAGGCATTATTAATGTCAATTTGTTGAATAGACCAGTGATGAGTAGCAGCAAGAGTAAAAACAAGTCTAATAGTAGATGCTTTGACAACAAGACTGAAGGTTTCCAAGAAATCAACACCTGCTGTTTGTTGAAAGCCCCTAGCCACAAGTCTGGCTTTAAACTTATCGACTGAACCATCAAGATTATATTTTGTTCTGAAAACCCATTTATTACTAATCACCTTCATGTCAGAGGTGGGTTCAACTAAGATCCATGTGTCATTATTGATCAAGGCCTGAAATTCAGCCTTCATGGCAGCAAACCAATGAGGCTTAGACAGGGCTTCAGAAACAGTAAGTGGCTCTAATAAAGGCAATGAAGTAAGAGCTGCAGAGAAGGTTTTGGGTTTAAAAATCCCAGCTTTGGATCTAGTGATCATGGGATGAGAAGCTTGAGAAGAAGGAGGATCAGGAGA